TGGTTCTGCCCCGGTTGCTCCTCTTCCAGTCCAGCTCTCTGCTGTGGCCCGGGAAGGCAGTGGAGGATGGCCCAAGTGCTTGGGCCCTGGACCTGCATGGGAGACCAGGAGGAAGCACCTGGCTCCTGGCTTCGGATCAGCACAGCGCGCCGGTCGTAGCAGCCATTTGGGGGGTGAACCAACAGAAGGAAGACCTTTCTCTCTGTCACTCTGTCTCACTGTCTAACTCTGCCTGTCAAAAAAAAAATTTTTAAGTATTTTTACTGAGCTTTACAATTCACAGAACACTTTTTTTTTAAGTATAGTTTTTGCATTTGCACACAACCTGGTAAAGTACATAGACATACACTTTCAACTTGATGGCAGAGCTACACACTTGTTAAGTGTTTAATTTCTGTCTAGTTGGCATGCCACAATGATTGATTAGTATTTGTAAGATCTCTGGCAGAGTCAGGTGTGATCTTTACATCTTAGGTGGCATACCTGCAGCATGTACTTTAGTAAGGTCAACTTAATTGAATTGCATGTATTTGTCATTCGTTTGGTCATTAACGTTAGAGGTTCAAGTGTATTCAACTCTTCAAATACAACTTTTTTTTTTTTTTTTTTTTTTCTGAATTTCCTAACAGCTGGGGTCAGGGGGGATACACGCACATGGTGTGTGTGTGTGAGGATAGGGGGCAGGTCTCTTGGTTTCCCTTCTCATAATTCACCTGTCATCTGTGATAGGTCTCAGTCATACTCCGTGTTTTTCCCTTCCAGGTGAGGAAAATAGCAGCTGAATACTACGACAACCTCCCCCAGTACAATTCGTGGATAAAAGTCCTGTACGACTTTGTCATGGATGATACAATAAGCCCCTACTCAAGAATGAAGAGGCATCAAAGTGGGCAGGAGACGCTGGACTGAAGAGCAGCCCAGCCAGAGAACGTGCTCTCTGCAGCCCCAGAGCCGATGAAGTGGAACTGTGCGGCACTGCTGAGGCGCTGCCGTGGTATGGCTTCTCAGTGCTGGCCGGAAGCCCACCTGGCTGTCCACAGTCGGCCTGTCTCCAGTGCTCTCAGCTTTGCTCGCAGGAAGCTTGCCCGTTGTATGTTGTCCCCCATGTGTCAGTGTCTTCACGCACGTCTGTCATTTTGTAAGCATATAATAAATCAGCTCATTTCTAGTATGTTATTTTCACTATAAAGTTTTACTATATTAATAAACAGCTAATAAACTGAACTATTAATCACAGTATATTAGTATTACGTTTTTGCATTTCACTGTATTATATGGTAACCTGGATACTGGAGACATCTTACTTTAAAATTTGTTCCAAAATAGATTTTTTTTAAAGGCCTGAGTTAGAAGGTAGGCATTTGGTGTGGCATTTCCGTCACTGCTTAGGACACCTGCATCCTAATTGGCGTGCTTGGCTTAGCTCCAAATCTTTTGTTTCCTATCCAGCTTCCTGCTAGTGCATACCCTGGGAGGCAGCAGATAATGACTCTGGTATATGGGTCCCTGCCACCCATGTGGGAGACCTACATTGAGTTCCAGGCTCCTGGCTTTGGCCTGGCCTATCTTAGCTGCTGCAGCACTTGGGGCAGTGAACCAGAAGATGGAAGACTCTGCATCTTTTTGTCTTTCAATTAAAATGAAAATAAAATCATTTTAAAAAGCCTGTTAATATAGGTTGAGATGAAAATATCTTCCTATAAGCTAATTGTTCATTTTTGCTGTCCTATGTGGAACCTAAAGTTGACACTGCTGAGTCCTGTACAGCCTTACCCATAAAGTATTCAATTTAACATGTCCAGCATTCAGCTTCCTTTTTCAGATGCACTGACTGTCACCTTAGAAGTACTTCAGCAGTAGTTCAGCTAGGTCAGAGGAGGATGGCCCAAGTGCTTGGGCCCTGCAGCCGCATGGGAGACCAGGAGGAAGCACCTTGCTCCTGGCTTCGAATCGGCGCAGCACGCCAGCCGTAGTGATCATTTGGGGGGTGAACCAATGGAAAAGGAAGACCTTTGTCTCTTGTCTCTCTCACGGTCTAACTCTGCCTGTCAAAAAAAAAAAAAAAAAATAGTTCAGCTGGGAACAGACCTTGTGGCATAGCAGGGTAAGCTACTCTTTGAGATATCTACATCCCAAATGTGAGCCCCAGGGATTGAGTTCTGCCTCTGCTTCTCATCCAACTTGCAGCTACGATAGTCCAGGAAGGCAGTAGGTGATGGCTCTTGAGCCATTGCCACCAACGTGGGTGACCTGGATGGAGTTCCTGACTCCTGGCTTTAGCCTGGCCCAGCTCCAGCTTTTGCAGACACTTGGGAAGTCAACCAGAGGGTAGAGGATAAGTATCTCTCTGTGGCTCTGCCTTTCCAGTAAATAAAAATATTTCAAGAGACAGTTTTATGGTTTCCCCTTACAGTGGAAACTAGTCATGATCCAGTGGAAGACAGTTGGTCTCAAGTACTAACAAGTATCATGGCTGTTAGGCTGGCAGTCCTGGCTACCTCAACTGTGTCACTTGGGTTAATTTAGTACAATGTGGTGAAGTACTTTAAAATTCATCAGCGATTTCATAAAGTATAACATCCTGACCCCTGAGGGTGGAATTAAAGAGTGGAGTCCTGGGGTAACATAGTGGCACAGTAGGTAAAGGTGCCGCCTGTGATGCTGACATCCCATCTGAATGCTGGTTCGATTCCTAACTGCTCCACTTCCAATCTAGCTCCCTGCTAATTTGCTTGGGAAGGTTCAAGTACTTGTGGTCTTGCTACCATGTAGGAGTTCCAGGACCCTGGCTCCAGCCTGGCCCAGCCCCAGCCATTGCAGCCATTTGGAGAGTGAACCAGAAAGTGAACAGAAAGATCACTCTTTCTGTTCTCCCTCTCTCTAACTCTGCCTTTCAAATAAATAAAATAAATCTTAAAAAAAAAAAAGAAGAAGAAGAAACCGGTGCCCCGGCTCACTAGGCTAATCCTCCGCCTTGCGGCGCCGGCACACCAGGTTCTAGTCCCGGTCGGGGCGCCGGATTCTCTCCCGGTTGCCCCTCTTCCAGGCCAGCTCTCTGCTGTGGCCAGGGAGTACAGTGGAGGATGTCCCAAGTCCTTGGGCCCTGCACCCCATGGGAGACCAGGATAAGTACCTGGCTCCTGCCATCGGATCAGCGCGGTGTGCTGGCCGCGGCAGCCATTGTTGGGTGAACCAACAGCAAAGGAAGACCTTTGTCTCTCTCTCGCGCTGTCCACTCTGCCTGTCAAAAAATAAAAAAATAAATAAAAAAGAAAGAAAGAAAAAGATCCAGCAACCAGGCCAGTCAGGAAGGCGAGGAGCAAGTCCAAGGAACCAGGCGGTGGCTTTGCCTGAGTTGTCCGTTCTGCATTCTCACGTCCCTCAAGGCTCTCAGCGGCCTCGTGTCACCATGCTGACTCCCCAGCAGGTCCGGTGCCACTGTGTGCCCTCCGCAGAGGGCCTGTTTCTCGCCCTAACCAAGCTGTTCTCTAAACAGACGCTGTTTCCCTCTGAGATTTTAACTCCTAAAGGGCACGGCATGTCTATTTCTCCATTTTCCAGAACTAGCAGGGTCTGCAGTGTTCAACGTAAGTGTTTAATAAATGGAGAGAGTACTGGAATGCGAGAGACTTTATCTAAGATAGAAACACAGTCAAAAAGGGTGTTTCATTTAGAAGCATGGCATCTTGAAAACAAAGGATATTTACGGAGAATCCTTACTTTTACAGGTTGGTAACAAAGTGGTGGGGTTTTCGTCGTTGTTTTTGTGTTGTTTTGTTTTAATATTTACTTATTTGAAAGACTGTGAGAAAGAGAGATCTACCATGCACTGATTCACTCCCCAGATGGCCACAATGCCCAGGGCTGGCCAGACGGAAGCCAGGAGCCAAGGACTTCTTCCGGGTCTCCCATATAGATGCAGAGGCCCAGGTGCCTGGGCCATCCTCCACTGGTTGCCCAGGTACATTAGCAGGGAGCTGGATCGGAAGTGGGCACTCAAACCAGTGCCCATTTGGGATGCTGGCACTGCAGATGGAGGCTTACCTCACCTCGCCACAACACTGGCCCCAGTGCCAGGTGTTTTATAAACCTAAGTCTCAACACTTCTATGGTGTAAGGAGTACTATTAATATCTTTACTTTGTAGATGAGAAAACTGAGCTGCAGAGAGACTAAATAACTGGCCCAGGGTCACACTTAGTCAGGTGTGAAAATAGAATCTGAAATGCAGAGTGTGACTAAGCCAAAACTCTTGGCCCCGCACCCCCTGGTTTGATGAGCCCGGTCCTAGAAACAGGCATGGGGATGAAAACCATAGGTGCTCACCCTGCTGGCTTATTGATGACTTCTGTGCCAGAGGCTGAGCTGCGTCTCTGTATCCCAACTCTTAGCAATCTAAAATTTTAATATGGGGCTAATGTTGTGGCACAGTGAGTTAAGCTACCACTTGCAATACTGGCATTCCATAATGGAGCTCTGGTTCCCATCCAGCTCCCTGCTGATGTGCCTGGGAAAGCAGCAGCAGATGACTTGGGCCCCTGCCACCCACGGGGGTGACCAGTTTATTGTTCCAGGCTCCTGGCTTTGGCTTGGCCCAGCCCTGGCTGTTGTGACCATTTGGGGAGTAAATGATTTATTAGATGGAAGGTTCTCTCTCTCCCTCCCTTCTCTTTCTCTTTCTCCCTTCTCTCTCTCTTTCTCTCTCTCTCTCTCCCCCTCCCTCTCCCCCTCCCTCTCTCCCTGTCACTCTGCCTTTCAAATAAATAAATTTTAAAAAATCAGGTGGTGGGGCTGGCACCATGACACAATAGGTTCTCCACCTGCAGCGCCGGCATCCCATATGGGTGCCGGGTTCTAGTCCCGGTTGCTCCTCTTCCAGTCCAGCTCTCTGCTGAGGCTGGGGAGGGCAGTGGAGGATGGTCCAAGTGTTTGGGCCCCTGCACCCGCATGGGAGACCAGGAAGAAGCACCTGGCTCCTGGCTTCGGATCGGCGCAGCGCACCGGCGTAGTGTCCATTTGGGGAGTGAACCAACGGAAGGAAGACCTTTCTCTCTGTCTCTCTCTCATTGTCTATAACTCTACCTGTCAAATAAAAAAAAAATCAGGTGGGACAAAATTGTAATACAAAGTAATAAACATTTAAGTCCTTAGCAAAAATGCACTCATTTATTCATTCTACAGGCTGTTGACCAAGGATTCCAGTAGGGAGTGAGGATATGAAGAGAAAACATGGGCCCAAGTCAAGGAGCTGGCACTCTAGTGTTGGGAGGTGCACATGAAATCAGCATTCAGTGACCAAGGACTCACCACGCCAAACAGGAGTCGGGCTGTGGCTGGGACCAGGTGGCCAGGACGGTGGCGCTACACTGTTATCAGCGCTCAGGCAGGCCGCACGTGCAGATTTTCAGTTTAATCCATGTCGGCCTGAGGAGGCAAGCCTTATCTCCTGTGCTTGGTGCAGGAAGCCAGCCAGAAGGTAACTAGCCTGGGGCGTCACACCCTGAGCCAGGGCAGAAGCCAGGAGGGTCAAAGCCTGTGTTCTGTCTATTTTCCCTCTTCTCTGGCTGACTTAGAAGCTCTTTGTTTGGACAAGGAAATGTGTTGTTTCCTGTTGGGAAGATATTCTAGGAGCCTTATTCATCTGGAATAAAGCAAAAGCAAGCTGATGACCTAGGGCTGGAGAGGCAGGGAGAAGACAGCAGCCACGCCTTCAGAATGCAAGAGCAGTGCCAGCAGGCCCCTCAGAGCCTCAGGGCTGCGATGCGAGGAGCAGGTGGCTGAGGCACCTGGCACAGAGGCTCTGGCGGAGGGAGGGGGGGTGCCTGAGGCTGATCGGTGAGAGCTGGGTGCTATCCAGGGCCAGGGGGAGGGGCACACGTGCAAGGGGTGTTAGCAGGTAGGACAGCCCCAGGGAGTGCGCTGACACGGGAGAAGGCGCTGGGTTTGACAATATGTGGATTCCAGGACAGAGCATGCAAGTACAGAGCCAATGCCACGGTTGAGGAAATAAGAGGACTGGGAGCATCACCTGGGAAAGGCCAGGTAAGTTTCTGCCAAGTTTTATCTGAATTGGCAAACAGCCTCTGAGGCTTGGAGCTGAACTCAGCTGAGGGGAAAGGGTTTCAGGTGCATCCCTGTGGGTAGGAAGGTAGTTGCTAAAACAGGCACGTATAAATTAGCACACAAGACCAAAAGCTAGAGCTCAAAGGCAGAGGCTGTAACTGTGGCTGCACGGAGTGCTGGGACAGACAGGACCCCGATGGGAAGAAAGGTGGAACCCAAAGAAACAAGCAGCCTTTTTACAGAGTAAAGAGTGGATTGGGGCCGGCGCTGTGGCGCAGCGGGTTAAAGCGCTGGCCTGAAGCATCAGCATCCCATATGGGCGCCGGTTCTAGTCCTGGCTGTTCCTCGTCCGATCCAGCTCTCTGCTATGGCCTGGAATAACAGTAGAAGATGGCCCAAGTCCTTGGGCCCCTGCACCCATGTGGGAGACCCGGAAGAAGCTCCTGGCTCCTGGCTTCAGATCAGCACAGCTCTGCCATTGCGGCCATCTGGGGAGTGAACCAGCGGTTGGAAGGCCCCTCTCTCTCTCTCTCTCTCTCTCTCTCTCCTGCCTCTCTGTAACTCTTTCAAATAAATAAAATCTTAAAAAAAAAAAAATAGTGGATTATCAGAGCTGGTATGTGGTGTAGTGGGTAAAGCCACTGCCTGTATCCCATACAGGTGCTGGTTCAAGACCTGGCTGCTCCTCTTCCGATCTAGCTCTCTGGTATGGCCTAGGAAAGCAGAGAAAGATGGCCCAAGTGCTTGGGCCCCTGAACCCAGGTGGGAGACCCAGAAGAAGCTCTGGGCTTCTGGCTTTGGCCTGGCACAGCCCCAGCTGTTGAGGCCATTTGGAGAGTGAACCAACAGATGGAAGAGCTCTCTCTCCCTCTCTGTAACTCTATTTTTCAAATAAATAAGAAATTTTTTAAAGTAGATTATCAGTCATTAGTTACAGATCTCTGTAAACCTTGGGAAAGGAAAAATAGATGCACTGTGACAAAGGCCTAAAGGAATTGAACTACGCTTAATGTTGGGTTCTGAATCGTTACACATCAGAAGTTGCTAAAGCAAGGAGGTTAGGTTCCCCTGTTAGGTTATTATGAAAGTCTACTCCACTAGGTCACCAGGAAGGGTTCCAGACGCTGCCCAGTCACCCCTCATTTGTCCAGTGTCTGGTTTGAGCCTTACATGATGCTTTCTTAATAGCTGAGACTGGTGTGTGTGTGTGGTTGTTTTTGTTTTTGTTTTGTACAAGGTGTCTCATTCTCCCCCCACCCTAAGCTCTTAGCCATAACCACCCACGGAGAAATCGGCTCTTCCCCTCCAGGCTGGGCGTTAGGCAGAAAGCGGCTTCCTGGCTGTTGCTGTCTTTCGAAAGAGCACTTTCAGGTCAGCTGGCCATATTTTGGGTGGACGTGTGCTTCAGCTCCAGCAATTCCCAGTGCCAGCCCACGGAAACCTGGTCAGAGCTGGTCTGCCTCATTCTGGCCACACCCAAGGCTGGGGGCTGGGGGCCGAGGGCTGGTCACCACAGGGGATGGCCTGTGGAGGCCGCCTCGCACTGGCCTGCCTGGGGGAAGGAGCCCAGCAGAGCGCCCCGGATGGCAATGGGTCTTCTCCACGGAGACTCAGCTCACTGCGTCCGGCTTTGAGGACACTTTCAGAACAACTGCACATTCTTATCATCCTTCGATTTCCTAAAAGCCGTGTTTCATCTCTTGTTAACTTCGCAAAAACAGACAAATAGGGATGGGTACTGAAAGGAAAGGACACCACAAAACACACCGAACACCGGAGTGAGGGAAACGGTTCATTGTCGGGTCGGGGAAACGCGAAGGGCTGCCTCCCCGTGCACAGCGAGAACAGCCTGTGCTGGGAGAACAGCTCTTAGATAGCTTTGCAGAGGTGAGGGAGTGGGAGCGGCAAATCCCGTTAGGGTGGGGGTGGAGCTGACGCTTGTGATTGGGCTATTGGGTCACCTGACTGCTAGCAAGCCACGCTGGGCTTAGGAAGATGGTACCATTTTACTAACAGGTGTTCTGTAGCAGCAGGTTAAGTGGCGACTTGAAACACTCACATCCCATGTTTTGGAGAGCCAGTTCCAGTCCTGGCTGCTCTGCTTCCGATCCAGCTGCCCCTTGCTAGTGCACCTGGGAAAAAAGCAGAGGATGGCTCAAGGATTTGGAGTCTCTGCCATCCATGTGGGAAACGTGGATGGATTCCTGGCTTCTGGCTTCAGCCTGGCCCAGTCTTGGCTGTTGCAGGTATTTGGGGGAGTAAAACAGTGGATGGAAGTGCACTCTCCTTCTCTCTCTCTCTCTGATTTTGAAATAGAGAAATAATATTTTAAAAATAAATAAATAAAAGGGGCAGGTGCTGTGACGCAGAAGGTTAATGCCCTGGCCTGAAGCACCGGCATCCCATATGGGCTCTGGTTCAAGACCCGACTGTTCCACTTCCAATCCAACTCTCTGCTATGGACTGGGATAGCAATAGAAGATGGCCCAAGTCTTTAGGCCCCTGCACCCACATGCGAGACCCGGAAGAAGCTCCTGGCTCCTGGCTTCGGATCAGCGCAGCACTGGCCGTTGTGGCCAACTGGGGAGTGAACCTTCCGATGGAAGACCTTTCTCTCTGCCTCTCCTCTCTCTATGTAACTCTTTCAAATAAATAAATAAATCTTTAAAATTAAATAAATAAAAGCAAAATAATTCACCAAACATCAAGGCTAAATGACAAATTCAACAAATCCTGGAGGGTTTTTCCTGTTTTCCTCTCCCTACCACACCAGCCTCTGCTGTTTTCTGTGGGAAGAGGACACTTTGCCTTCAGAGCACCTGATTTCTCCCCGGGTTCCCTAGGCCGTGCCCAGCCCCAGCCCCAGCCCCAGCCCCAGGCCCAGGCCCAGCCCTAGCCCCAGGCCCAGGCCCAAGCTTTCCAACCAGTCTGAAGCAATTTGCAGCACTTGTTTCCACCAAAGGGAGGGGCTGGCCAAGGAAAGAGCAAAAGGAAAATTTCAAAACCTCCTTAGACCTTCAGGAGTGAGCTGGCTTTTAGCTCCTTGGCCTGGAGTCCTTGCTCTTCTGACTGGGGGTGAGATGCCACTTGCAGGCTGCCATCCCCTGAGCACATGAGCCCTGTATCCATGGGTCTGTTTTTCTTTCTTTTTTTTTTTTTCTTTTTTTTTTTTTTTTTGCAAGGCAGAGTGGACAGTGAGAGAGAAAGAGACAGAGAGAAAGGTCTTCCTTTGCCACTGGTTCACCCTCCAATGGCCGCTGCGGTCGGCACACTGAGGCCGGCGCACCGCGCTGATCCGAAGGCAGGAGCCAGGTACTTCTCCTGGTCTTCCATGAGGGTGCAGGGCCCAAGGACTTGGGCCATCCTCCACTGCACTCCCTGGCCACAGCAGAGAGCTGGCCTGGAAGAGGGGCAACCGGGACAGAATCCGGCGCCCCGACCGGGACTAGAACCCGGTGTGCCGGCGCCGCTAGGTGGAGGATTAGCCTAGTGAGCCGTGGCGCCAGCTGGGTCTGTTTTTCTATCCATGAGTCTTTTTCTTTTCTTTTTTTAATTTAAGATTTATTTACTAGAGACATAGAGTTACAGACAGTGAGAGGGAGAGACAGAGCGAGAGGTCTTCCATCCACTGGTTCATTCCCCAGATAGCCGCAACAGCTGGAGCTGAGCTGATCCGAAGCCAGGAGCTTCCTCTGCTTCTGCCCCGAGGATACGGGGCACAGACTTGGTCCATCTTCCACTGCTTTCCCAGGCCACAGCAGAGAGCTGGATTGGGAGTGGAGCAGCTGGCCCCTTGTTGTCTCTTTGAGGAGCAGAGCCAAGTGTGATCATTCCAATCCAGCTCTCTGCTGTGGCCTGGGAAAGCAGTGGAAGATGGACCAAGTCCTTGGGCCTCTGCATCCACATAGGAACTAGAACCGGCGCCCATGTGGAATACCGGCACTGCAGGTGGAGGATTAATCTGCACCACAGTGCTGGCCCCTTGTTGTCTCTTTGAGGAGCAGAGCCAAGTGTGATCATAAACCAGGAAAACAGCCATCCTATTTCGATTGAATTTAGCAAGATTATCTTTCTTTTTAAATTTTTGTAAACATTTTGAAATTTTTTCTTTTATTTTTTATTTAAAAAACATTTATTTATTTGAAAGGCATAGTTACAGAGAAAGAGAAAGAGAGACAGAGAGAGACAGGTCTTCCATCCACTGGTTCACTCCCCAAATGGCCACAACAGCCAGGGCTGGGCCATGCTGAAGCCAGGAGCTTGGAGATTCTTCTGGTCTCCCATGTGGGTGTAGGGGCCCAAGCACTTGGGCCATCTTCTGCCACTTTCCCAGGTGCATTAGCAGGAAGCTGGATTGGAAGTGAAGCATCTGGGACTAGAATTGGTGCCTATAAGGGATGCCAGCATTGCAGGTGGTGGCTTAACCCATTATGCCACAATGCTGGCCCCTATTTATTTGAAAGGCAGAGTTACACAGAAAGAAGGAGAGATAGAGAGGGAGAGAGGGAGGTATCTTTCATCTGCTGGTTTACTCCCAAAGTGGCCACAAAAGCCAGGGTTGAGCTAAGATTGGCAGATGACAGCCAGGAGCCAGGAGCTGCTCCTGGGGTCTCCCACATGGGTTCAGGGGCCCAAGTACTTGGGCCATCCTCCACTGCTTTCCTAGGTGCATCAGCAGGGAGCTGGATCAGAAGTGGAGCAGCCGGAACTTGAACCGGTGCACATATGGGATGCCAGTGTGCAGGCAGCAGCTTGACCTGCTATACCACAGCTGAGCATTATCTCCTCCATATGTCCTTCTAATACACACAATATGGAGTAGGTAATCTTATCTCCATCTGAAGGAGGAGGACACTGAGAATCACAGACACTAGGTAACTTGCATCAAGTTGATTGCCAAGAAATGGGCAGAACAAGAAACTGATTTGAATTTGTATTGCTGCAAACTGGAGCCCTGGCCACCGCACCATGGCACCACCCTTCAATCATAGACCCACACCTCTACAGAAACCTCTGTTTGCACACATATGGAAGAAGGGGCTGGGCGATGGTGCCGTCTGGACGGTTGGGAATTCGGGCGTCTGAGGGCTCTGCAGATGGGGAGGCTGCTCCGTGGGGAGCGCTAAGCCCCATCCACTCCCTGTGTGGCGCTGTTCTTGGAAAGCAGTGCAGGCGCATGGTTGCACTCCATGCACTGTGACACTGCACCAGTCCCATCTGGACCGGGCAGCCCTGAAGGTTACTAGGCTCTGGAGGTTTGCTGAGTAAATTAACAACATAAGCAAAGGTATGGGAAGAACTTTAACCTACCCCACAGAATGAGATGTTAAGAGGTCTAACTATTTCTGAGAACTAAAGTGTCAATTCTGCCTGTCACAGGGAGCAGTTGGACACCCACAGCCTCCTTACTTCCAGACGCATCGTGGGTACTGACAGCCAGATGCACACAGACACTGCGCTGACTTCCTTGTGCAGGAAGAATCTGCACATTGGTACTATCTCCACTATGCAGCCAAGGAAAGAATATTGAAGTCATACAGACAAAACGCATAGCCAGTGTCTATACTCAAAGTCTACACCGAGGATGGCCCAAGTCCTTGGGTCCCTGAACCCCATGGGAAGACCCAGAGGAAGCTCCTGGCTTCAGATCAGCACAGCTCTGGCTGTTGTGGCCATCTGGGGAGTGAACCAGTGGATGGAAGACCTCTATTTCCCTCTCTGTGTAACTCTTTCAAATAAAAAAATCTTGAAAAAAAAAAAAAAGTCTACACCTTTGTATGGCAGGAAGCGAGTGACTGAGGTTAGCATCATGGTAGAAATAGACTTACCGAG